ACACACACACACACACACAGACACACACACACACAGACAGACAGACACACACACACACACAGACACACACACACACACACACACGTCCTCTCCCCGTCAATAAAAAGATACTGCAGCTCTGTGAGCTGGACGGCAGCGAGCTGCTGGAAATAACAAGTGGAAACTCAGAGTCAAAGCAGCGACGTTAAAGTGAAACAGACGGTAAAACGACCTTTAAATGAGCCTGAGGGTCAGTCAGTGAACACAACACCATGTTACTGTCCAACTGTATGTACAGACTGTGTGTGCTGTCCAACATACAGAGAGTCTGTACGTACAGACACACTGACTGATGGACGGACAGGTGGGGAACAAAACCACTGAAACAATCTATTATCTGAAGTAAATTTGCATCAACAAACTGAATCTGTTGACAGATTCCTATGCACCAATGCACCAAGGCAAATTCCTCGCATGTGTAAATTTACTTGGCAATAAACCCGATTCTGATTCTGATTCTGATCTCTATGTAGATTGAGAACTTACAGCCAATTAAATGAAGAAATAATATCAGAGATAATTCAACTATTACTTGTTTTCTTTCCTAGAATTGGATACGATGGATACGACTGTAATTACAGGTCGAACTGAGTGAAGACGTCCGTGTCCCCACAACGCTGCTGATTCTGTTCGAATGCTGCAAACTGGCCTGATTGGACAGATTTCAGCGATTGCCTCAGTGAGAGGAGCCTGTTGTGACGTCTGCAGTCTGACGCTGTCTGGGATCAAATAGAAAACTTCAACCACTCTGACAGATTATAAATGTACAATTTGTCTCATCTGTGACACTTTTTAATTCCCCAAAGTCCAAAACAAAATGAACAAGAAGAGAAACAGACACAGAACATCATTAAACTGCTCTGAGATCATTTCAACCACAAAACAAATAACTGCAGACTAAAAATACAGCTGTGATGAACGTCTGAACACAGACGCTTAATTTCCTGACAGTCAATGAGCTCTGCTGAATTTCGGACAAATAACACAGAAATACACAAGTCTGTTCAGTTTGTCTCAGATCAGAGTCAGAGGGTTTTATTACCGCAGCTCTGACAGTAAAAGTAGGTTTATAGTTTTAGTAATAGTTACAGAAAAAGATAATAATAAGATAATATTAGATATATGAACGAGTGCTGTTACATCACACTGAAATATGGAGCTGCAGCTCAAACACCATCAATCTGAGCGCGTTTGTGCTTTTAGGTTTTTTCCTGCAACAGTGAACAAAAAGGAGAAAACATGATAAGTGCTAGCAGCTAACTAGCTAACCACTCACACACTCAGGTTACCCACAAGCCCACCTGTCTTAAAGGGGGAGGACGGTAACACACAGGTGCAGTGAGGCTGTAGGTGGAGGAAGAAGGTCTGAATTTCATAATCCGTAATTTCTTCAAAATGATCAGATTTAGATATAAAAATACAAATAAAATTGAGTTTTTGTGAATGTTTTACGTTGTTAAATAGAGGAACAATATAACTGAGGATGTGATCTTAAAGGATTAATATGACAATTCTCTTGGTATTAAATATTAAACTGTAACATCCACTTTGGAATAAACATTAGCATTAGCATTGGTAGTTAGCATATTGTTGCTGCAGTATGTCGTCTTAATGAAGCCGCTTTGATCTTAATAAAGTGAAATGCTGTAAAACTTCCCCTTCAATAAACCACTGACTGTCTGTTCTGCTACATTTTGAGGAAACATGCACACAAACACATGCTGTATATGGTCAGCAGGAGCTGTTTAATACGTCACGAGTTCAGCTTTGTGAAGAAGACAATAATAGTTGTTATTACCCAGTTTGGTGCTGGGGGAGCTGCTCTGGTTTACTGTTACAGATGCTGGTTAACTGTTCCCAGATGGCCCGGCGTCCTGGCCTGAGGAGACTTCCAGCCGAGCTCGGCATCAGGACAGACTGACGGTTTAAAGGGCTTTTCCACTGCATTATATTTACTCCACATTGTGTTCATACTTAACTCTCTCACGTCTCTCACTGACGCCTTCGTCTCTGAAAATAAGAACTGATCATTTCATTTACTGGCTCTAAAAACTATTTTTCCTTGTTTGTGTTATACAGTATCAGATATAACTGATTTTTGTTTATTATTTGCTGGAAATATATTTAAGGCTATTATTATTATTATTATT